GCGGAACGCCTGTCGTGATGCTGACCATTCTGTTATCATCAGAGTGTTCTTCCGATCCTGAAGGAAGTTTCCTATCCATTGGAGGTTCATTGTCTGACGCCCAGTCTAGACATTTCTTGGATAATTAGATCTCGGTTCATTGTGTCGAAAGCTGCGGTGAAATCGAAAGTCTTCTCTTTATTTCAGTATTCCTGTATTCCGAAGTTTGCTGGGGTTAATTCGGGATTTATTATAGGCATGAACACTGCCATTTGACATGGAAAAGCCACATTACACTTTTTTTTACAGCCATATTACACTTCGAAGGAACACAACTCCATTCTGAAGTCTGAATCTTCTGAAATGTACATGCATGCATGCGTTAAAGAAACCGACTAAATTGCTGCGTTTGGAATTTCATTAATGTGCTGAATATTGCTTAATGGAAGCATATAATAGAACTAGCGATATTTATGAGTCAAATGTGAGATATGCATAGGTCTGGTTATTTAACCAAGATTCCCATCATTGTATTTTCAGTCATACCTTTCGTTTGGAAATTTGCGGAATTCAAAAGTTAAAAAAATGCACAGGCATGAAAAATAAAAGTTACAACACGAGTTATATATCAATGGAAAGCGCTTGGAAAGAGCTTTCATTTGACACTAGTTATAAATTTATATCTTGTTTAAAACAGGAAGTACGAACCGCCAAATTTGGTGAAAATAGGCAATTTTGGACTTTTCAAATTTATTTTTAAGTTGTTTCAAAAAACGTAGGAAGTTGAAATTTAGTTCTTAAATTGCCATTGCCTTAGTCTACAATGTTACGAAAGATCGTGGTGTTACAATGCACCTTAGTGCTAATAATTTGCGTGCAAAATTCTGCAATATTTACCATTTTGGAAATTGCATAATTCAATTTCTAATAAACGCAGAAGAAAATGCATTTAATAATGCGATTCTACATGGTCTCAGCTTTACTTAGAGCCCAAAAACGCGTTTCTAGCTCGATTAGGACCAAATATAGCGCTTTAACCCTAAAGGCCACTTTTCCTCTGGGGGGGGGGGGGGGGGGGGAAGTTTGGGGCCGCACATCTCGAGATCCGATGGAACCAGAGAGCGAGAACCAGCATGCAATAATTTTTTTTTCAAGCAAATTGGAGTCTGAAGCGCAACCACCCCTTGATCACTTGAGCTGGAATGCCTCATCTTCAAACGCGAAGGATTTATTGGGGCATTTTCATGGAAAAGCTCCGGAAATTTTGCAAAATTTCATGTTAAGGTGATTCATCATTTGGCCAGGTAGGGTGGAAGAGGCACTGCGGGGATTCTGCAGACTTTCAGATCATTCCGGAAGTGGAGCATCGTCGCAATACAACAAAACTCAGTCAGATGGAGCGTTTGACTGTGAAGTAAAAGCTGGCCCCTGGTCCCATGTGTGCTGCATCTGGGCGAAGGGGGTTAGGGGGTGAAGGCAAGGCAACTCTTGAACGCAGACGTTATGATCGAGAAAAGGTTTCAAGGATTGAGTAACATTGTTAAAGGAATGAATTTTGTATCTGGGAATGGAAATTACAAACGTCGTGCTAATCTGTAAAAAGGAGTTGGAGAAATTTGGGAAATTACAGGCCAAAGAGTCTCAGCGAGCATTCCGGGAAAGATCATGAAAAGTATTTTGAGGTCGCATTAAAATTACTGGAGGTGCACTCTCTCATCCGGGAATCTCAGCTCAGAAGGCGGCCAAGTAGCCATTACATTTTTTCGAATTCTCCCATTGAGTGACGGACGAGAAGGATTAAAGGAATCCTGTCGACATTGTCGCATTGACTTCGCAAAAGCTTTCAGTGCCGTTTCGGATAGGAGGTTGCGAGCTATATAGGAGGCGCACAGGATTCAAGGTAGGATGAGTGAATGGATAAATGAACTGCTTGCCGGGAATGAGAGAGAATGGAGAAGTGTCGGCGGAATTGAGAATCACGAACGGAATCCCTCAGAATTCGGTTCTGAGGCGCTTCTATTGGTGGTTTACATTAACGATTTTGATCAAAGCCTCACAAGTGTAATCATACAATTATCCAAGGATTCGGAAACGGGTTTCTCCATGGGGAAAGGGAGGGGGTTGTAGGACAGTGCAAGAGTCTAGAGAGATTTACGGGTTTTATACGAGTTGAGTAATGAAATGGCTCAAGAAGTTAATAAGATTAAATGGAAAATCCTCCACATCAGTCAAAACAACGATAGACCCTTGAACGTGTTCGGTGAGGATAAACGAAGGAGACACACGAAGGGAGTAACTTAAAACACGATCAATGAAAAATGAAGTTCTCGCACGCGCAGGCGACGGTAGCCAAACGTAATGGGATTTTAAGTTTCATCCGACATTCCATTGCGGTAAGAGCTCGTGCGTTATTTCGTTATATTCCTCGTTTAGAGTATTTGGTCAATTCTGGAGACCTGCAAATGAAAGTGGGTTCGCTCGAGAGGGTTCAGAGGTGAGCTACTTATTTGGTTAAAGAGGTACGAGGACTTCCATATTAGAGGCGTTTAGACTCAGAAACGTTTTGGATTATTGCTCGAGAGAAGGCTATCGAGAGAGATCTCATCCATTCTTTTAAGATCATTAAGGGAATCGATGAAGAGGAGCGAGGTAGATTCCTCTATTCCGATGGTAACAATAGAAGGAGAGGAAATTGGTTCAAGTTGCATAAACCCTAAGCGTCACTCAGGTTGCGCAATGACTGCTTGCACTCCTGGAGGGTAGTAAATGAGTGGAATTCATAATGCATAATGTAGTGCCAACACCTAATTTGACCAGCTTTAATAAAGGTTATATGCCTTCCTTGACAAAAAACCAAAGGAGTCATGTAGCTGTAGGTAACTCCACAGCAGTTGGATATGCGCCCACAAAAATATTTATCTGTAAAAGAGGTAGGTATCATTGTTCTGTATGGACGTCATAGTGGTTGAAAGCCCCTTTGCACTCTTATCTGAACACTGAGTCATGTAAAATAAATTTTTAAGGTCATACCAAGAAATTGTGCATTTACATTCATGTTCATGTAAGCTACTACATATGAAAATTCCATACATTGTGAATACTAGTAGATGTTCCCACATGTATCTAATTCATGTATCTAGTTTGAGTGTACCACACCATACACACAGCTTGTGTACAGAGATATATGGTATCATGTACATTTACATAACTCTATTTCAGGGGTGCCCAACCTATGGCCCACAGGCCAGATCCAGCCTGCGGCGACAACTCATCTAGCCTGTGACGCTTACTGAATATTATTGTAAATGTAATATTAATGTTAAAATTAAAAAAAGGTATTGCGGCCCGTGGGAGGTCCCTTAAGAGGCAATACAGCAAGTCATACAATAAGGGGCAAGGGGCAGTTGGGCAAAAAGGTTGGCTGTGCAAATGCTACTCAAAAGGAAGGGTTCTTAGTTAGCAAGAGTTCTGGGATGATAAGGATGCACATGTAAAAGGATAGGGGAAATCTTTACATACCTTTATGTTGTTCTTGAATCTTATCAAGTCATGGAGCCAGGAGATCCTCAGGCATCCACTGTATAGATCAGACCTGGGTTCAGTTATTTTTTTCTATCTCCTCTTATGAAGGAATAAATCAAGCAAACCAGATTTAGTGATGACTTTAATGACTGGCAAAATGTTATTTTTGCACTGAGAAATTATGAGAAAATGCTGTATTGGAGGGGGATTATATTAAATGGGCATGCAGTCACATCTCAGATCTACATATGGAATACTTGTTTCTCATGGTTTGTCCTTTTGGCAAATAAACTTACAACTCTGGCATTAGTGCTTGCTGGCTATTAATGTATCATAAACTTGTGCCTTCAGTGCTTGCACCTTTAAAATTTATTTAAAGTGGTGAAATTCCATGGATTTTTATCAATATTAATTTTGAAGTCTCATCACTTATGGTTGTCATGTTACTGCAAAACTTGAGGTTAGTAACAATCTTCTTCACTCAAAGACCCCATACTAAGTTTTAGCTTTTATATCATTTACAATGGCACTTGATGTGCCTTTGCCACCTATAATGCTAGTACACACTTTCTTGTTTGCATAAAATATTCAAATAAATGTATAAATGCATAATAGCAGCACATGTAACCTTATTGTCTATTCTAACCTAATAATTCATTAAACAGGATGGGCCAAAAAAATGTACCCTGTTTCAAAATGAAATTACAGGATAACCATACAAAATAGGATTGAATAATAAAATGCATTTAGCAGGCAAAAGTCAAAATAAAATAAAAATACTAAATAACCCTTTTTTCTGTTGCAGATTTAAAATGCCTCAATTGCCTACAAAGTGCCAACAGCTAAGACAATATGGTGACCCTCACATCCTGGAAACTCCTTTCTGAATGCATGCAGTGTCACTATTGCTGATTGAGTTTTGATGTGCTCTTTTACGATGAAGAGTGTTTGTTGTAAACTTAATTGAGGCTTTTTGAACCTGCTGCAGAAAATAGACTTATTTACTCTTGTAATATAGTAAACAAGTTTACTTTGACTTTCTCATGCAACCATACAATAAAACTCCCATGCTCTTTTTTTGAATGCATAGGCTTTCTTGGACTGGTTCATCAACAATGCTTGATATGATAGCATTTCTTAGTATTATAGGCTCATAATGAATACTTAAGTAATCTAGCTTTAGTCTATCCAAGTCACATGAGCATAGGCTATTTTCTGGAGTTATTGAGCTAAGGTTCCCCTAATCTATGCCCATACATCAACTTCAGGTTTCTGTTCATGTGCTCCATTCATTTCATGAGCTAAATTTACAATTTCACTCCTTTGTCATCATTGGGCTGATCTCCCAAAATTGGCTGCTTCATTTCTCCTTTCATTTTTTGGCAGGTGTATTCTAGTCATTTCAAGTGTCCCCTGCAAGTGAAACAATAGCAATGCTTCACTCTAGAAATTTCTTCGTGAGTTGGACAGTTCCAAAGTCTAGACTTACTGGATTATTCATGCTGCATCCATTGCGACAAATGAGTATAGATTCTCTTTTGGTGGCCAACCGTGGTGAAATTGCATGTCGAGTCATCAGGACTGCAAGAAGGTTGGGAATCAGGACTGTTGCTGTCTACAGTGATGTTGATAAGTATTCTCTGCATGTGAAGATGTCAGATGAAGCCCATCTCCTTGGACCTGCTCCATCCATTAAAAGCTACTTAAATCAAAAGAAGATCTTAGACATTGCAAAGACATCAAGATGTATTGCCATTCATCCTGGGTATGGGTTTCTCTCAGAGAATGCTGAATTTGCAGAAGCTTGTGCTAAGGAGAATGTCATTTTTGTGGGGCCATCTGCTTCAGCCATTAGAGACATGGGAGTAAAAAGCAAAGCCAAAAGCATCATGGAAGCAGCAGGTGTACCTGTTGTACCTGGGTACCATGGAGATGACCAGGCATATGACCATCTTTTAAGGGAAGCTGAGTGCATTGGCTTTCCCATTATGATCAAAGCTGTTTCTGGTGGAGGAGGTAAAGGAATGCGTATTGCTCTCACTCAGAGTGGTTTTAAAGAAGCCCTGGAATCAGCCAAAAGGGAATCTCTGCAGGCATTTGGAGATGATCGTGTTCTGTTGGAAAAATACATCCTAAACCCTCGCCATGTGGAAGTGCAAGTGTTTGGAGACAAGTATGGGAATGTGTTGTACCTGATGGAAAGAGATTGTTCTGTTCAAAGGAGGCATCAAAAAATCATTGAGGAAGCACCTGCCCCTGGAATAAATGAAGTGACTCGTAAGCACCTGGGTGAAGCAGCTGTGAGGGCAGCCTCAGCTGTCAATTATGTTGGTGCTGGGACTGTTGAATTCGTCTATCAGGAGGAGAGTGGGCAATTCTATTTTATGGAAATGAATACCAGGCTCCAAGTAGAGCATCCTGTTACTGAAATGATCACTGGCACAGATCTTGTGGAGTGGCAATTGCGGGTTGCAGGAGGCGAGCCACTTCCTCTGTCACAGGATGACATTTCATACAAAGGCCATGCGTTTGAAGCTCGTATCTATGCTGAGGACCCTAGTAATAATTTTTTACCTGGTGCTGGAAAGCTATTTTACCTCAGGACTCCAATTCCAGATGAAATAACTCGTGTTGAAACTGGCATTGTGGAGGGTGATGAAGTGTCTGTGTACTATGATCCTATGATTGCTAAATTGGTTGTTTGGGGGCCAGATAGATCATCAGCTCTGAGGAGACTTGCAAAGAAGCTTTCTGAGTATCATATATCTGGATTAGCTACTAACATCAGCTTCCTCTTGTCTTTGTGCAATCATCCAGAATTTCAAGTAGGGAAAGTTGACACTGATTTTATACCCAGGAATCACAAAGACCTTTTCTCTGTTTCAGAACCTTCAAGTGAAATAATAATTCAGGCTTGTCTTTACATATTGATGAAAGAAAGATTTGCAGTCTTTGGACAAATAGCCAAAAATGATCCATTGAGTCCTTGGGAGAGTGGATGTAAATCTTTTCGAGTGTCTCATATGAGTCATAGGAAAATTTATTTACATGAGCCAAGTTCTGACACAGAACATGATGTGAGTGTATTTGATAATGGAGATGGGACCTGTTCAATGCACCTAAAAGGTAATGTCTATCCAGGTGTAAATGGAGTGCTGCTGAATGAGGGAGGGAAGACCTTAATGATCAGTTACATCAAGGGAATAGCATATCATTCATGGATCCTCCCAAGTGATAACCAGATTCATGTCATTTCTCATACGGGGATCTTCCAATTACATCAGAGAGAGCCAAGGTTCATCAAAGCTCAGTTGGAAGGTGAAGGAGCTGGTGATGCCATAGCACCCATGCCTGGTGTCATTCAAGAAGTTTGTGTGAAACCAGGTCAAGAAGTCTTACCTGGAGATCCCCTGGTTATTATGATTGCCATGAAGATGGAGTATGTAATCAAGGCTCCTTGTCATGCCAAAGTTGAGAAAGTGTTTTTCAAACCAGGTGATAGTGTTGCAAAAAATGTAGAGCTTGTGCACCTAGACAGACAATGAGTGAGTAATGTGTTACTGCAGGGAGTAATGTGTTAATGTGTTACTGCAGGGAGCCCCTACATGAACCCCAGTCATGAAATATATACAATATTATCATATAATACCTGAGTCATTTCACTGACTTCAATTTGATTATTGAGCTTGAGTCTCTGAGTGTGAGACTTGGCCTTGTGCATGGCATTTTAGCCCCACATGAAGAAAAAGTACACAATTTTAAGTAGATTTCCTAAGTGAAGGCTTCTTTGGTGCCTGTGTGGTCCTTTCCTCCTATTCACTACTTTTTGAATTATCCAACTTGACCTGAATGACTTTAGGCTCCTATTTTGAAGTTTTTTCTTAAGTACCTACATGCAGTGAATATAAGTTGCTTAAGAACCCTATGTATGGCCATCATTGGCCATAATGATGACCCCCAAGAGATAAATACTCATTACTTTTCATAATGTGGTGTTGACATGACTTGATGAAAGAAAAAAAGGCATGATGCTCCTGGCTCAATTCTAGGATCTAATGATATTTGTTATGCCCTCTGGATTGTATACAGTTGTAGAGCGCTACATTGTATATTGGTTGCTTCCACTTGACTGCATAAGATATAAGTGGTCTTAGCCAGTCTGGTTTCAAATGGAAGGTGTTCCAAGGCTGCCAATGCTATCCTTTGAAGTCAAACGGAGTCCAAAAAAATTTGACTTTGCAGGGAAGCTACAACAAGTGAGTGCATCAGACTTAAATGTTTACTTTTCTGTCAAAACTTTTGTCTTTCTAACTCTGAACATTGCTTCTTTTAAAATTTGTTTACTCCTTATTCTTCATCTTGTTCTTCATCTCCTCCCCTCCTACTTCTTCTCCTCCTCCAGCTAATAGCTCAGAAATACCATGAAGACCCAGATAAATACATGAACGAGATCCATGAACTAGAAGCATTGCGTGCCTCTGCTGTGTATGCATCCATGGACTTCAATGGATGTTCCACATTGAAGAGATATTACTGCCAACTTCATTTCATCAAGAATAGATTTCCATGGAGCCCAAGCGATCACAAGCTCCTTCACTTTACATGGTTAGTTCTATAGCATCAAAGCTATGACCAAGGATCATGCCATCACAGGGCATCATTAGTTTTATCACAATTGCATTAGCTGAACTTGTTTTCCAGTTATATCCCTTGTGTGTAGGCCTATTGGCATTAAGAGGTTCATGATGTAGGATGCACCCAAATAACATTCATGCTTTGTTTCCTGTGAGTTATTCATCTTTCTTTGAAGTGAGGTACAATAAATGAAATAGAAAATTTAATGTTTTTCCAGGCAAGACATAGCTACGGGGATCCAGGTTTCTGTCCCTGATATAGATTTTGAAATTGCCTGTGTCCTCTACAACATTGGATCCCTGCATACTCAGCTTGGAGCTGCTGATAGCCGTACATCTTCTGAAGGGATGAAGATTTCATGCACCCACTTCCAATGTGCAGCTTGGGCATTTGAGGTAAGTGTGGCCACTCCAGTTTCTCCAGCAATCTCCTTGGGGTTCCCATTCCTTGTTCCTTCAACTTGTGAGGGAAATGAAATGCACCAGGCACTACAGTATCCTACAGTGGTGTACGTGGCTCCTCATTACTGTGTTTTTCAGTTGAATTTAAAATTGTCTTTTTTTTGAACCAAACCAGTGCTCATTTTACAATGAGATAAATGAATGAATTTGGAGACAATTATATGTTTGTGTTATGTTGAGCTTGGTGGAGTCAAGTGAAAAAATATGTATCTTTGAAAAGCACCATAGATTAGGACCAATGGTGAATGGTAAAATGGCCTTATTCTCAATATTCTCTAGTGTTAGCTTTTCACCCTTTTAACAATACAAATTTTTTTCCTCCTCTCTGGACTAATTTCTTCAATCATCTATCTAAATTGCCTGGGTATACTTGACATAGGACCATGAAAGGTCTATTCTTACACCCTAGTGGTATCCTGCATGTCAGATTTTAATATAAAGCTTAATAGATTGTCACTTTCACCCAGCCTATGATTTGTATCAATTGGTAAGAATTTGTGTTTCTTGCTTAGATTCTTAACTTTGGCAATTCAAGGAAAAATTATTTGAAACTCATTCCAATTGATGTTCTCATCAAACATGGGGTGGCTTGTGGTTACAAGGGGGTGAACAGAATTGACTGTTGGTGTCATCACCTTAGAACATGTGCTTACTGGGTAATAGGCTGTGTATGTCTTATGCAGTGTGTATTCATAGCTCATAGCTCCTCTGCCATTAGGATATTCAGAAATTGGCTTCAAATCACATTTGCAAGAACTTTGACCTGCAATTGCAATAATGTATCTAATGAATAAGCCCTGCTTGGCAAGCATGCACTTTAAATGTGTTGATCAATCGAAGCTATGCATAGGATGGACACATTTCAAACTATTTTAATTTGGAAAGTAAACTAGTACACTCTGTGTTGATGCTCTCTATCACTAACTATCACTATCAATGGTGTATGTGTTTCAATCCTAGAAATTGCTGGAGATGCAAAAAGAAAAACATGAGGGTTATTTTCGAGGAGACCTTGGGAGAGAGATGTTGACATTTTTAAGCATAGTCTCCCTGGCTCAAGCACAGGAATGCATACTGGAGAAGAGTATGGTTGATCAACGCAAGCATACCATCACAGGTTTGTGGATGCATGAATTACATACCATTTTTCATTCAGTGTCCAAAAAAAAAACAATTTCGGCCAAAAGTTGGTGTGAAACCCAAACACCTTGTCTATTAGACTTCCCAATCTGTTGAAGGTGTTCTTGAACACTAGACCATGAAGTTTTCTGCTGATTGTTGGATGGTTTGAAAATATTTTTGGTGGCCTCCATTGCCTTACTTCCCTTACAAAACTTGTAGAGCATACAATGCTGTTTATGGATCTCTTCAGAAATATTGTCAGACATTTATGTTGAAGAAAATGAAAAAAATTTTGTTTATGAAAAATGTATGACAAATAACGGTTCGTTAGAATAATGAATGAAATTCGTTTCAAAACAAAAGAAAACACATAATAAATAATGTTTACATTTGGTATTGAAAAAAAACGACTTTACTTTCTGGTATCCCTAATACTTTAACTCGTTTATTTAGAGAATTAGTTATTTACCTTTGTAGTGCAGGGTGTGATACCAATACAGCCACAGAAATTCATATATGAAATTTGAGGACATATTGGTTGGGCCATGATCCCTAGTGTAAAAACGCATCACTGTACAAGTATGGCTATGGTACAGTCTCACCATTCTCATAATGCTGACCATTTGTTCTTGAGACTTGAAATGCTAAAGTGGCATCTGCCATCATCTCTGAGGAGCACAACAGACAACTTTGAGAATATTCAGCAGACAAGAATAAATTTATTGAATGCCTTTCATTTGCAAGGTTCTCATAAGATTCCTTAACTCATTTCTGCCTGAATCATTATTTTTAATTTACGTTTTCTAAATAAATGTGTATAAATGTATGCATTTTTATAATATTATAATATAGTGTATAAATAAGTAGTTATCTGAGGAAAGTTATCCAAATAACAGTTGTCTGAGGAAAAATTGGTAACAACTATTTCATTTTTACTGTTTCCTTTCCACTAGGGGTAAGAAATTTGAAAGGTAACATATGTCAGGCTAAGTAGAAATGGATTAATACACAGGACCAGCAAGGTTAGAAACACTTGTGTTGGTCATGATTTGTTATGTTGGTATTAAAAATGTTAAAATATGGGGGAAACTCCCAAAGTGTGGTATAATGAAGCTATTTTAATTATTGGAACTGTATACCAACAGGAACACTCTGAACTTGATCATCTATGATACTCCTCACATATGAAAGGTGGTAGGTAGTAATGAAGCATCAAGTAATGATGACCATCCTCTTGCTGGGTCTAAGATATGGTGGTCACACTCTGCTTTCTACCAGTTGGGTCCTCTTCACCCTTCCACTTGCTTGAATGCTTGAAAAACCCATGTTATGATTGGATCCTCTAGTAGGATCCTTAACACAGATCTAACTGAGCTGATCTTATACAGCTTATCTCTGTCTAAAGAAGTTCAGCTCTGCTGGTTCATATTTTGAATCTTCAACTTGTTCCCTGTCTAACATTCTTCTTCTGAGGCCCCACATACTCTCATGGTGCTGGCTGTCCTAACTCTTCTCAAAATTATTCTTGATTGACATTAGTATCAGGATGCTCCTGCCCCCACTTTTCTTTATTTGGAAGAACTTTAGAGACCTTTTGATTCCTTTATACCTCTCTCTGCTGAGCTTTCTGCAAGTGTCTTCTGAAAATGTACAGATTCTCAGTTTCACCTAGTTGTCACTTCCTATCACTCTTACAAATGGAAATCCTCCATCCCGTTTTTTTTATTTCTTCACTCGAGACAGATCTTCTCCTATCCTGAAGTTTTCCTTTCAAAAGCCCACCAGCTTTCTGGCTTCTTTGTCTGATTTGGCTTCCCCAATGAATTGATATTATGTGTTGGTCAGAGTTGCTTGTTTCTGTTCAACTCCTTCATCAACTTCCTCCTCCTCCTCCAACCAACTTCCTGCTCTCATCTCTCCCAGTCAACCCTCTACTTAGTCTCGTTAGTCTTAGTCTCACTTTGTGATTACCTTTCATCCTCTTATTAGCAATGTCCTAAGCATCATCAAATCCAACAGTCACATTCTCTCTTCTGGATTTGGCTCTATTCTGATTTTCTCCTCTCCCCATCTTCTTGCTTCTCAATGGGTCAGAAACATCCTGAGCATTGTATCCCATCCCAAACTGAGCCCCCCAACTCCTGGACCTGTCTCTTGTGGTTGTTCAAACTGCTTGACTTGTGCCTTTACTTCCTCCTCCCTCTTCAAAAGCAATGAAGGAAAGTTAAGGATCTCACTTTTTACCTGATCCTCTAAGGATGTTGTCCATTCATTTTTTGCATCAGCTGCCCTTCTAAATTTTGCAAAGAAATTGGGAGATATTTTGGTGTTTGTTTTATTGAAAATCTGAGCCAGTACCATTACATTTTCAGTCTTTGAAAGACTGCATCAATGTCTTGAGAATGGGCTGAAATTCCAAATTAATACCTGCTCCTTTGAGTGTATCAACCCTATTGTTTGCTTCATGTGCAGCTCTTGATCTCCTTCCCTTGCTTTCTTTTTCTCTCAATTTCTCTTGTTTTTGTTTCGTGGAGGTGCTGTATGCCAGATCCTATGAAAACCTATATGACTGATGTACATGGCTTTATTTTCCTCCATCTTTTTCTTTAAGATCCTTTATGTACAGGGTGATTAAAAAGTCACTTGAAGGGTTTACAAAACTAAAGCATGAAAGCTGTGTTGCCCAGCTTAGTGAAACTTTGGGAAATTTAACAACTTTAAGGAAAATGTTCCACAAAAAAATAAGCATTTTGTTTCCTTAGGGGTGCTGCTTATGTGTTATCATTTGTTTTAACAGCAGTGCATCTGTGATTGGACATTTAAAATGCTGTCATAAAGTGCTGGAAATCAGTTCTCAAGTAATATATAAAGATGTGGTCTTATAAGCTGCAAGTAGCATTTATGTGACTCAAATGGATTGAATGCACAGGCAACATGATAAGCTTAGTTCTTCATTGCAGCTATGTACTTGCCCATATACTTACCTGCTCCTGCTTTGTGTATGTATATCATCATGTTAGCTGTGCTCTCTATCAGACATAGGTTTTCCCCCAATGTCATGATACTATTACCCAAGTTTTACTGAGCTCATTGGCACATATTTTTAAGAGACCTTGGTGATTGTTTCAGCCAAAGTTGCAGCACAGATTGTGGACTTCTATGGAGAAGCTCTGAAATTCCTGTCAGGAACAAAAGAAGACACTCCAGTTGCAGATACAGTCAATAGTTCTCTTGCAAAGGTTTGTGGAGGATTCCTTTTTATATGGGTATAGCCTAACTCATTCTTTTATATCCTAAATGAGCCTTTTGGCAATATTGCAAGGATTTGAACATTGCACTTGACAACATTGTTTTTAAGGCCATTTCACACTTATGTGTGATGCATGCAATATTTAGAAACTCTTGCAGGAAACTTATGATTTTCATATTTGCATGTTGTGCATTCATATCTGTGTATCAGTCAGTGCTGATAGAACACCAGTACATCAAGTCACTTAGATGACAAAATTTCAACACAATGGGTGAACTTCTTTTCCTTCATGTATGTGTGTAGATGTCCTAGCCTAAACTGATGCCAATTCCACACATAAGCTTTTTGTTTTGCAAATACCCTTGGATATAAGTGGATGTGCATGTGCATATACGAGGGGCATTTCATAAATTCTGCACATCATTTTTTTTTCTCTTTTATTGACAATTAATCCAACAGACTATGTCTACAGGCCTTCTACATATTCTCCTTCCTTAGCAATGCAGGACTCCCAACGGTGTGGAAGGCTGTGAATGCCAGATAAGGCGCCATCTTTGTTAAGTTGACAAATGTGTTGGGTAACGGCTTGAGAAAGTTCTTTCAAATCTGCAGAACGCACACCACGCATCTCATCTTTGAGTTTTGGGAACAGGTCATCATCTGGAGGACTCATATCAGGGCTGTAAGGGGGGTGAGGAAGAATTTCCCAACTGTACTTGCCACTATTGGGGGTACAAATAAGTTTTGAGGGATTTACAAAAGATGGCGTAACTAGCATTAAATCGCATCGGACCATCTTGTAACTATATTCATGTTGAAGCATCATCATTTCCCGCTAAAAATCAGTATGTGTCATGTCGCTGAAGTGTAAACAACATACTTTCTTTGTGCTCTAACCATGTCAACCTTTGTGCCAACAAAACACAATTTGCGGGAAGCGCTGCTTTTTTGTAAAGTGGATCCACTACGACAACCCAAAGCGCAGAAAATCGTGGGGTAAGCCCGGCCATGCATCAACTTCAACGGCAAAACCGAATATTCTGGCAGAAGCTAATGCTGTGCATCTGGTGGGATCAGCTCGGAGTGATCTATATGAGCTACTCCAGCCTAACGAAACCATCACTGGGGAACGTTACCAACAACAATTGATGCAATTGAGCCGAGCATTGAAGCTCAAATGCCCCCAATATGCCAAAAGACATGACAAAGTGATCTTTCAGCACGACAACGCTCGGCCGCATGTTGCAAAAGTCGTCAAGAACACTTTGGAGGCGCTTCAATGGGATGTCCTACCCCACCCGCCGTATTCACCAGGTATTGCTCCTTCCGACTACCACTTGTTCTGGTTGATGACTCATGGCCTGGCCGAGCAGCACTTCACTTCTTACGAAGAAGCCAAAAATTTGGTCGATTCTTGGATCGCCTCAAGAGACAAGAAATTTTTCCAACGCGGAATCCGTATGCTGCCTGAAAGATGGGGAAAAGTCGTAGCTAACGATGGACAATACTTTGAATAAAATACATTGTACCAATTTCTCTGAATAAAGCTTCAAAGTTACAAAAAAAACCCTCAAAACTTATTTGTACCCCCAATAAATCAGTCACTACCTAACTAACGTGTGACCTGGCATTGTCATGGAGGATGAGAACCCCTTGTTAGTGGAGTTCTGGGCGATTGTGGAGCATTTTTCTTCTAAGTTTCTGCAAGAATTGGCTGTAATATGCTCCTGTGACACTACATTTCATAGACACATGATCAGTAACAATCACACCGCAACAGTCGTAAGCAAAGATCATCATCTGCTTAACTTTTGATTGTGAGCGTCAAAATTTCTCCCGCTCACAACGAAAATGTGAGGCCCAATGAGACACTGTGCTCTGGTCTACTGCATCACTTCCACAAGAGCAGTGTGAATTTCTGTGGGAGTTTTTTTTGCGCAGTTTCAATTTAAATTTAAGATCGTTGATCGTCTCGTGTTACAGTACCCGAAAGCTCTGAACTGGCCATTTTGATAGTTCACTGTTTCTAAACTTCAGCACTTGGAGCAACAAGATTTGGCATGAAAACACTCATAGCCTCAAACTACAACTGGGACAAAAATGGCAGCCATAACATCATCCAGTATTCAGTGTTGCCAACTTGTGCAGAATTTATGAAATGCCCCTCGTATGTATCTGTCTATCTGCTCGAGCATTGGCACAAAAGATACAAGATGTGCAAAGTGTGAAATGACTTGACGTCTCACAGTCTGTTAACACAGTTTCATGGACCTTCTAAATGTGGCTGAGATTACGTTATTTCTCAATGTGCATTAAGAGTGCTCCATGTAATCATGTCAAAACCCCTATATTCATCAACACTGACTTTCATATGACCCACCAACAGGTTGTATGCCCATTGTTGTAGCATGCAGGAAAATTGGGTTTGGCAGTCTAAGTGTTAAGGTAAGTTTCTTTAATTTTCTAGTGAGATGTAGTCTTAGGTAATGTAATCTTATAATACACTAAATGCAGCAAAAGTTGTGCGTAACTTTTTTCATGACTTCACAATCTATTATTTTAACCAAATACTTAGTAGGTGCATTCAAAAAAGATACTTATTGCTCATCATATCATCTCTATATCCACTTTAAGAAACCTACAGATGATTTTTCTTTTTTGTTATTTTCATCAAATCAGAAAGTCACTGAACCTATAGCAATCTGGTAGGAAAGTACAGGGTGTTCAGGGAATTGACCCATCCCATCCAATCCATCGTCCCAGAGACATCTGGTCCCAGAAACGCTTGACCAGCAAACTCCAGTGGGGTGATGCACCATCTTGTTGAAAGATCATTTGTGATTGCATTTCCTTCAATTGTGGGACCACAAACTTCTCCAGCATGTCAAGGTAGACAGTCCCAGGATGGACCAATGATGTGGCCTCCATGTTCACTGGACATCACTCCTCTAGACTTCTTTAGGGGTATGTCAAAGACATTGTGCATTGCACACATATAGCTAACATCACAGAACTACAGACCAGTATAATGGATGCCATCGCCAGTGTGACTGTGGACGTGTTGCAGTGAACATTGACTGAAATTGAAAATCAGTTGGATGTACTGAGAGCCGCTAACAGTGCACATGTGGATGTCTACTGACATGTCAATAAAAACTCTTTGAGTTAGGTTACATGATTGTGCAAACTGCATTTTTGTATGTCTATTAGTTTTTTTTTTAAATTTAAGTTTGGGCTTCACACTACAAATTAAGAAGATTATTATGAATAATATTCAAAATTTGAAAGATAAATTAGGAACACCCTGTATTTTCCCATTCAAGTATGTGAACAGACAGAATTATTTTATTGGACAGATTGATACAACTGTTAATCACATTTACCAATTTATTGTGAATGTCGGCTGTTTTCTTTCTCTGAAAAGGGATGAAACAGGTCACCATTCTTTGTTTCTCCATACTAAAATGAGTCATTCCCCCTCCCCCCACACCTGACCAGTGGGGAGTGGCATTTTTTCCAAGAAACCAGATCCCCACTGTTTTGGATAACTCTTGCATGCGTTATGCTCAGTATAGTGGATGACTTAACTATTCCTTACAACTATTGGCTTTTTGCAACATTGTGAAAGCAATACAGATATCTACCCCTCTCACAAGCCTTCTTTTGCCTCTTGATGAAATCTGAAGATTTATTTTTATCAAAAAGAGACTGACTTGTGATGTATTCTACACAATTGCAATGTAAGTATTACACCAAAGTATTGGTGGGTCCCAAGTTGAATCTATGAAATGAACAAAATGTGTTTGGGTAACTATTGATCAAGGGCTGGCTGTTGCATCCCTTGTAGATGTTTACACCAAATGGTTCAGAAGATTATTATATGTCATTGGATTTTAGAGATGCTATGAGAATATCCAGTCCTTGAAAGATTTACTCTTCCATTATTGTATGTTACTGTGTTTACAATTTTTCTCTCATTTTCATGCCATGTCTGTTTTCAGAATTGCAGGCAGTAGTTCAAAGAATTCAATATGAGCAAGGTCTCAGCACTGGAAGATAATAGTCAAACACACATTTCCTGTATCACCTGACTGATGCATATGTTCTTCATCATTTGTTTCCTCTTGAGTTCAATATCCAAAGTATGGACATTTGGGTTTTCTTGCAATATCCAGTACCTTTTCATATGAGCCAGAAAATCATCTCATCAATAACTCAGCACTTACAAAGGAAAGCAGACTAACCATTCGCACTGAATTTGAAGAAACCATTCAAAATGGTATAGCCCATGAAGAAATCAAATATTACAACTGGAAAAATGGTGGAGATTGAAGATTCCACCTATATGGAAGGTGAACAAAACCTTTAAGGCAAAATAAAAGACTGCTCTCTGGTGAAAGCTGCTCATTCAGATATTTTGAGTATATTATGAGCAATATCAGTGGAATTCATCTCAATCTGCCTCTCACATGTAACTGTTTTCTGTATATTCATCCTTTTTCTTCTAATTTGTTTCCCTTTTCACTCTGTATCAGAATCTAAGGAAATATACACATACACATACATATGGCAAATGAAATGGATGAGAAACTTGTCTTCAGAAGTATTCAGCCAGGTGAGAGTAGCCCGTTCCAAACAAGCATGGGAGCCTAATTCACCTTTAGTAGGACAGAAGTGTACCTTGGGTTACTTGAACATCGAACAGTAAAATTGGGTCTATGTAATTGTTGGAGAAATGGTTTTCCTAGTGAATGTAACTGCAGGACATGATGCCCTCTCTGGGTATGAGGCAATTCTAACTGGAATATATGAAGAACTCAAGGAGTTTCATTAGCTTCTCTATGGAAAGGAAGCACTATTTGAACCTCTGACGGCTGATTGGAATCCTTGTAAAGTCTCAGTGCTTAACCCTCTCAGTGTGGCTGATGAGTATACTCATTGCATGGCAGCTTCCCTCTACAAAATTCCGCAATGAAAGAGTTAACCCTTTCATGGCTGAATTAAGAAAACGAATAACTAGGACATTTTTTCACCACTTTTTCTATTGAACAGGCCTAGCTAAAGACAGAGCTCACAGAAAATTTCAAATATTTATTCATATACTAAAAAATGGAATCTTTAAATTACAAGAATCAACAGCTGAAAATTTTGAATAACAGGTCATTGTTCACACATGGGGAGCCCCAAAAACTTGGTCTTAGTCCCAATTTTATTTGTTCATCTTTACAGCATGTGGGCATGTTTTTTCCATTTCACAAAAAACAAAAAATATCAGGTCACAACTTTTTTTTTTTGATCGAGCTTGCCTGAACTACAACCTATTTGAACAAATTATGCATCACTAAAGAGCCCTTTTCGAGAGCTAAGGAGAGACTAAGCGGTACCAAATAAAACAGGTTTTGTTCAATGGTAACTGCAAGAGCAGTCTCAAAAGATATTATCCTTATAATGATCATATGCCATGTTAATATATGAATATATAATGCAGTACTGGTTACCCATTTTTTTGCTTTTACCCATGTGTCATTATTTAGTATCAAAGACCCAATATTTGGTTTTCATTCAATGGAATGTTGCATAGTAATAAACCATTAATTTTTTTGGTTTTCCATCTTATGCCTGAAGACAAAAACTCCCTCTTGAGTGTGGGCTCCCTGCAACCCATGATGGTGATATTTCAGAAAGTGTTGATAAATCTGTGAAATTTGCAAGGAAAAACTATTGGTATATTTGACATGTTAACAGTGGTCAGTACCACAGAAATAGATACAAATTTTATTTGTGAATCAGTCTTTGCATACATTGCCTCTGATTGATAAGACTAAAATTGAATGCAATTATACCTCATAGCATATGTGCATGTGCTACAGGACTGCAGAAGAACTCAAATTAGTGTTAGGAGTATATTTTACCCTAAAAGCTCACACTTGCTTATCATTCCAATTACTATCAAATGAGTTACTGGAAATGTCAACTTGAAGCTAAGGCAGTAGATGCACTTAGGGTCAGAATATGAAACAGGATGAATATTGAATGTATCTCTTCTTTTTCTCTTAATTTTTTTTTTTTTTAGCAATGGAAGAAGTATGTGGAGTTCAAGATGGGCTTCTATCAGTGCATTACATACCTCTACCAAGGTCTACAAACAGAAGATCAACAGCAGTTGGGTGCGAGGGTTGCATACTACAAAGCTGCTTTGGATAAATTAGGAGAAACAGAGAAGCTCATCAAAGGCATCCCAAAGCAAGAGGTGAAGTAGTCAATCATGCTTGATCTCTTTGATTATCAAATTGGGTGTTTGAAGTGCAACTGCAGTAGAGGTGTCTAGTCAGAGAGTTCTGGGTGGGTACCAATTAGTGGGCACTTTAGCATTGTCTGCGATATTAAAAAATCTATGCAGAAATTAAGCCAGAATACACTGAAATCAGCCTAATAGGGGCGTTGAACATAACAATTTCCTGCATAGGTTTTTCAGGAATGCAGAAAACACTAAATCATTCCCAAATAGGTGCTCATCTACAAAATGGTGCCTCTAGCTTGCTGCATTTCATGTCAGGATATTGTAAAAAGCCTTTTTTGGGTACAATAATTTGTAATTTATGGAAACCTGACTAATAACAAAACTTGAGTGAATTATATCTTTCTATTATTATTTTTTTTACCTGACACCTTTCTTATTTACTGGTGTGTCACTGAAGGGAAGGCAAACTGGTCAGGGATAATAGGAAGGAGAAATTGAATGAAGGAAACTGAACAGAGATTCTCGTATTATTCATCATTCTTGCCCCATGATTGCAACCTAGGACTGATAAGGCTTTGTTGTTAGGTGATTGAAGATGGAAGAAGTGACAAAAAATTGCCATTACTATGCCTGAGGATTAGTTTTATTTTTTGTTAAGCAGGACTCTAATTGCATATTCACAAAATCACAAAATGGTAGGAATAAATTTAATTCAAAGGAGTTTTCTAAAAGTGCTTCATTGTAGCAGAGAGTTTTGTAGAGCCTATCTGGATGAAGTTCAAGTTCTTTTTTTCAGCTTTAAAAGCAGAATTAAGTATCTTAAACCAGAATCCACAAACATGCAAGGTTGTAGCCATGAGTTGTCTCATTCCTTCATTATTCTCCAACTTTTCATTAAAGGGAACACAGTAGTAAAATTGATGGGTAGCAATAACAGAAATTGACATTTCAAGAGTAACTGGATTGCTGAAGTTGATTACTATAAGGATTACGGAAGATGGATTATGGATCATGATTACAAAGGGGGAAAAGAATATGACCTATCATCATGCATGTGCAGCTATTGCATGGTGCCATTATTTCTTGGTGTCATTTGCTCATGTTCCAGGTTAATAAGGTAGAGATGCATGTCTGACATACTTAGGCCATTCCACAGTAGTGGAAAGGATGTCCTGGAGCACAATTGGCTAAATTTTCCTGCAGATGCTTTGAGTGACTCGGTGCACTTCCTTTTATGCTCTTTACACTGGAAACACTGACTGTGGCACTTACTTAATTCTTTATTGGCAGGTGGGACATGAACAAGGAAGAGCCAAACTGATTTCTGTGAGAGTTTCCTTTGGGAAATGTTGCCCTTGCAATATGTTAAATGGTTAATATAATTTACATCAAACATCACCCTTAATTCTCCCATACAGTCATATCACCTCCTGGTGTACCCATTTTTAGAGGTAATGGACATTCCAGCTAGTACATAATGTTAAATAAACATATTTTTGATATTGCCAATGTTTCTAAATGTTGCAAGTTGACAAATAACAGTTACCCAACATTGCTGCGACATTCAATGCCAATTTTCACCTCAAAGTTCTTGGAATGCTACTCTTATGTACAAGGTTTTTGTACTGTTTAGGCTTCTTAAGGGTTTAGGGTTTCATACATGGCATAGGGTATATGAGGCATGGGGCATGGTATATTGATTTTCCTTCTGAAGTTTGAAGGACTATTCCTTTATCTCCAAGCAATCTAAGCACTCTAAATTGATAGGAATTAAATTTTAGAGTAGCTTCTGGCTTTAAAAAAGTTACAAATCTAGCATTTTTTGTAGGAAGTTTATTTTTTAAATGTCAAACAGAATGCATTTTATAGCACTGCATGGTATACCATATATTACTTTTTCCAATAATGAGGTGATATCCACAGACTATCATTTTTGAAAAAATAGAAGACCATTGTAAGGATGTACAGTCTAAGCTGAAAAGGCATCTGGCACTTACTTGTTCAAGCAAGTTGCCACAAGTGCTAGATGATGCCTAAATTTTAGATGTAACAAGTCACTTCCTGATACCATTGGAATGAATCCAAAGAATTTTTGTATTGTACCTGATCCTTACCCACAGGCAGCTTGGGGAAGATGTTGGAATTTCTCAATGCAGTCATCTAAAGAGGTAACTCACCTCAGAGAGACTTAAGCCAATTCTGGCTCATAGGATGGAAGTAGGATTCTTTAAATATTGACTTTACTCCTTGGTATACAAGGTGTTCGTATTTAAATGCAACATAGAGACATTTTTGCCCCCAGTTTGTGAAGTTCAGTGCTTGCCCTGTAGCTCACCGGGTTGCATATCTGGAAGGATGAAACCCATCACTGGTGTGTTTCCTTGCAGATAGGCAACCCAGTGAGCACATAGTGTTCGCTGACCTCCACCTACAGGCAGCAAAATATTTCCTAAATTGCATTTAAATATGAACACACTGTATATGGTATCCATATCTTTCAAAGGAAAAGTCACTGCATTATTGGGGTGTTTTTAAAAGAAGGGCTGAAGAGAAAAGAGACCCCCAGAACATAGTCCATGATTTCACAGAAAACTCTCACTATTTCTTTCCTTCTCCAGTTCTTGTACTCTAAACACACCATAAAGAAAGACAACAATTTTCACACTTGAAACATTCAGAAAATAAATTTTGAAGTGTTGTCAATGTGATGCCAAAAAAGTACAAGCCTTGAGTTTCCATTGATGGTTTCAAAAGGCATCAAATATGATGCACATTTTTTGCACCACCCACCATTGTGCAAGTTATGTCTAGCCCTCTAGAGATGGCAGATTCAGGTGCAATAATAAACATAATACAGTTGTCCCTCGCCACTTCGCGCTTCGACTTTTGCGGCTTCACTCTATCGCGGTTTTTTCAAATACTGTACAGTAATTTTTATTTTAATTGTAATACAGGGGTGTATAATTGACTCAGACAACCGAGCGCGCGCTGTATCATTTTCACTGTCTCGATCAACTTTTTAATGAATATATTTGAAAGAACCGCGATAGAGTGAAGCCGCGAAAGTGGAAGCGCGAAGTGGCGAGGGACGACTGTACTTGTATATGGATCTTTTTGCGTAGTCCATGGCCTAGAAAAGTATGGTCTTGTAGGCCTCGCGCGTTAACCTAGGGTAGCAGAAGTCTAGGTCACTGCGGTCCGGATACGAAACGCCATATGTTGAGTCAATTCGCAGACACCCGGTATATCGTCTAAAATCGCAAAAAAAACAGTAGTGCATTACAATTTTCTATTTGTTCCTGTATGTGCTAAGAATTCTCTTCCAACTTCTCGAAAGGCGAGTGTGATTTTATCTCTAATGCTCATCATTCTGTAATTAATAAACTTGAGAGGACGCAAATGATTTGCCATGATTCAAATGAGTCCATTCAGGATTTGTCAAGAAAGATTGGTTTGCCGATAATTGTGCAATCATTCTTGGAAAGAAAATTTTTCTCTAAGGTGAAAGGCACGTTTGAGAGGGTTCATACATTTCAATGAAGGTGATAACGGACCGCACCCCTTCTAAACCCTCTGGGATCTACTCCGGGAAAGATACATGATGCCGCTCACCTTCCACGAGGCGAACTGACTAGTCGCCTGACAAGCAGTTATCAATTGGGAGACTCTTCAAACCGATGCTAATTCTCCCGCTTTCCCCCCTTCGTGGTCGTTTCGCGCTCCGCGAGTCATGTGTCCATTGCGTGAATGCGTGTCCACGTACATTCAAAGAGTTCTCGCAAGACGCAGGGCTTGAGTTTTCAATCGAGCTCATCTCGATTCCGCATGCAAGCCTCGCATGTTCAATTGGGATGAGCTCGATCGAGAGCTCCGCATGCAAGCGTTGACTGCAATCGCTGAGAATTTTCTCTCTCAGTTCGAATGGAATTACCTCTGTTTTACTTCCCTCACTCCAAGGCGGAATGTTGAAAGGAAGGAAAAGTCTTGTTAACATGAATTTATGATGATATTTCGCCATATGGCAATCTTGACTGAAAGATCCGCGTTCTATTTATTTCTCCCTTTGCAAACATGCCCAGCTCCTCGTCGAATGTTAACATGCCCAAATGCCCAACATGTCGAATGCCCAATGATCGTGTACTCGACGCTCCATTAATTCACGTTCGAAGTGGCAAGAACTTTCCTAGGAAATAATCTTAATTATCACTCGAATGATTTCTTGCGTGCCTAGATTCAAATCTCTTTATGTGACCTTTTCTGTCCGAGCGGAAAATAAATCCTGAATGACTTCCCTCGCATAATCAGCACCAAAGGGACATATTTCAAAATTAGGATTTTTTTTCTTCTCTCACTTGTCCATCAGGTGCTTCTGGGCGAAGTTTCAACTTTCTATCGCTCTCGTTTTGTAGGAGCAAAAACGATTCTGGAAAATGCGGCTCAAGCAAAGAAAGTGCCCTAAGGGTTTTTACCTAAAAAGTACAATTTTTACTAAAATTAGTATTCTAGAGAACTACATGGCCACCGAGTTTCAATCTTGCACATTTTTCCATTTTCGCTGGTGAAAGATATGTTTGGAAAAGCCGACCCACCCGAAAGCTTTGCTTTGAGAGGACGTAATACAAAAGCTGAATTTTCCTTGAACTCAACATCGCGTCAATTATGCATGCGCCAAGTTTCACATTTCTATTTCTGCCCGATTCGCCAGAACAAAAAAGAATTCTTTGAAAACAAAAAAATATGCCATCAGGGGATGCATCTGAAACTTGACTTTTCCCCTAAATTGAATGTCTCAGTGAGTGAGGCACATTCTCGTCGAGTTTCGGCTTCCATGTCTCACCATTTGACTCAAGCAAAAACATTTATTTAGTTACTTGTGTACCGAGTTCCAGATTTCTAACTTATTTAGGAGCGTCGAAGGCGTGACCATAGCGAGTTCGTTTGCCAGGAGGGCAAAAAACTCGCTAGTATTGGAACATTCCTGGGAATACCGAACTTTATTTTATAATCCGAAGTATTCC